ATCGTCTGACCAGGGCGCACCTCATAATTTATTTAACTGGTGCTCTTCCATCGACTCGCAGCCGAGTTCCACGCTTGAAAGTAGTGAGGGTCACCGGGAATCCCTTTTTCTCACTTTGAGCAAAGTGAGTGGCACGCCTTTGTAGTCTTATATGCCACGCGGCCAGAAAGGGAGATTTTGGAGACAACAATCTCTTTTTGGCACGCCCGGTGGGACCCACTGTGGGCTTTCACAAGTTTGTTGATCATATTCTCTATTACTAGATTGTGCCACCATGGCAAGTCCTTATTTTGATGATTGCCAGAAGCTCTTCATCACTCCGCCACAAGCTTCCTCTTATGTCAATCCACTTTATGATGAGAAGGCAACAGCTGACAGTGAGTCTTTCAAATCACTTGTTGAAAGGATAGCTGATTTTGTTGAGGAATCTAAAAGGCTTCATGAGGAACGCATGAGGAGGTTGGAGGAAAATTTGAAAGTATGCAAATTAAATCTTCCAGAACTTAAAACCCCTCAACCCAAAAGTGAGGTTTTAATGGAGGATTCAAAGAAATGCCATGCAGCCACGTCTCCAGGAACTTTGAAGCAGTTTTGCAAATCGCAAAACGTGACAGAGATGCCAATTGTAAATGAAGGTCAGATGAGACTAAGGTCAAAGAGTAACCCCATGATCACATTCAGGGGGCATAAATCACAGTTGCAGCGTGCTACCCAAAGTCAGCAACGCCATGCAGCTTTGGAGGCAACTTCAACAAGTATGCCTCCAAGTCATTCTAAGTCTGCAAAGACTAATACTAGCAATAGTCCTCTTACTCCTGGGAGGCATAAACCAACTCAGGTGCAAACATGTCAGCCATCCATCAATGAAGGTCCATTTGATGGTCGACAACAAGTTGATGCTGCTACACAAAAGCCAACACTTTGGCCGGCATCAGTACATGAATCTGATAAGGTATCTACCTCATCTACTTTTACTTCTTTTGAGACTAACGAGCATGTTTCTTCTGCCTTGCTTAGGAGGTGTTCGCGGCGACCATGCTTTCTTAATGGTCGAAGCCCTTCCAAGTTCAATTATGGACAATGGCTGAAGGTGAAATATCCTTTTAAAGTCGTTAATCTGAAGAGGGGAGTCATTTCCAATCTCGGGGGGCAACCTAGTCAGATTGAACAACAAAGGTTGCAAGACCTTATTGCCCATGAAGTTCACAAAGCTATAGAAAAAGAGGTAGCAAGGTTTGTGCCATTGCAGCCTGATGCCAATTCAAACGTCCAACTAATGCCACCACAACAAAAGCATGTGTGCAAGCCTAGTCCACCTCAGCAACTTGCAGACTCATTGCCAAAGGCCACTCGAGAGGCATGTAGGCTACCATGTTGGCCAACATGCCATAGGCCATATTCAAAAAATAATGATTCTTTCCAAAGTGGCTTTCACAAAAAATTCCCAAATTTTCCTTGCAGCCACAAGGATAACATGGGAGGCGGCATAAGAAACATCATGCCTTCACATCTGCCAAGTCGAAGAAGGAGGAAGAAATCTAAAGACCTCTGTTGGACACCAATGAAGGAACAAAAGCAACAAACCCATGTCTTTGAGTGGAGGCACGGGGGGCATGATCTCGTAGAAAAGCATGGAGGCATGTGCAAATGCTGCCTCTATAAAAAAAGTCAATTTAGACATTGTTGCCATATAAACTTGGTGGCCTGCCCAGAGTTCCCTACCCAAAATCCTAGGACTCTTCGAAGGCGGCTTCAAAAGAAAAGAGCTAAAGAGCGTCAGAGACATGTTGCCAAGGTGCATGCTTCGCAAAGGCAACAACTGCCAGGGAGGCAAAAGTTTATTTGGGTGGAGAAGAAGAAACACTGTGCAGCTTCTCAAGAGGCAAATCAAAATTTAGTCAATGCAATCGTGTCTCCAAAGACGTTTGCCAAGTGTGTTCCTTTCAAGTCAAATGACTCAAAGGCAACTAAGGAACTTAATGTCAGCAGCAAAACAATTAGCCTTGGTGAGTTTATTATTGAACTTCCAAGTTCCATTCCAAATCTCCCTTTTGTTTTCACAACGAAGCAAGATGCAGCCTCTAGTGGCAAAGAGGTAGCAAAGAACAAAGCAAACATGTCCGCTAAAGAAAACAAAGGGAGCGATCATAAAAAAGATGCTGCAACCTTTGTTCCAAGAAAAGGCATGCTGTCGTCAGCTGGAGGCATGTCGCCTAGGAGACATTTTGCCAAGAATATGAGACCTTTGCAGGCACAAGGCATTAGATGAAGGTACATACTGGCTACAGAACCTTGACGGTAGTCTGTACCTCACAAAAATAAATGGCTTACCTTTTCAGCCATGTTACCCTTCGGTCTGTAAGTGATGTAGTAGATCGAAGTGGAAATAATCTCTTTGCCTAAGTCAGGTTTGGGTGGAAATCAGTTTTAATTTAGTTTTTGTTTGCAATTTTTTACAATTAGTGTGAATAATCTTGCAGTTGAGCGGCTTTAAGAAAGGCTATGAGATGGCATTACTTTTGAAGACACTACTTTCTATGGAGGCATGCTTGATTTATGTCTCCATGTCAACCAACAAGGGAATTCATGGAATTGTTCTTTTTGGAGGCTATATTTTACCTTTTTTACAGACACACTTTTAGCTGGCTTATTTATTTATGAAGCCGCTATGTCTGTTAGCTATATCTGCCAGATGATATTTCATGCTATGCTGAAGAAAACAACAATCTCAAATTTCTACGTTCTTGGAGACATCATGCTTCCTTTACAATGGCCACATGGTGAGGAGTGCTAGGAACAAAATTTTCAAAAACTTGATTCCACTTCCATGAAGTCGTGCAACCAAGTTTTGGGGGGCATTGTTTACACCCATTTTTGCAAAAAAATAGAATGGTGCCATGTGTCATCTATGTTGACAAGAATTTCATTGGTTGAAAGCAGTTGGAGTAAATCTCTCTAGATAAAGTTGAGTGGTTATTTCCACAACTACAACAAAGCCGTTCGTTTATTGCGAACTTCCAGGAGGATAATCGCAACACAAACAGACTAATCTATTTGTTTCAGATATCACGCTGCCATTGGTTTTTCAAGATTGCTGCTGCAAATCTCCAAGCATGCCGCCAAGGGGTGTTTATTGCTATAAGTATGCAGAGAAGAAACGAAGCGAAGGGGACCAGCCTCTCACACAACTAGCCCAGCGCTATCTACATTTTAGTTTTACAAGCAATGTCTTAGTTTAAATCCAGTTTTCTTGAATAGCTTTCCTAATTTAGTCTTTAACTCTACGCTACCATTAGTTTTAATTCTGATTTTTGTTATTTCGTTGTGAACATCTCCACTCGATATATTTAGTTTCTTTTACAATTTAATTTACTACACTTTGCCCCAAAATTCATCTTCTTAGCTTCTTTTAAGTTTAGTTTTA